CAAAGAGAAACCCTGTCTCTAGAAGAAAAAAAAGTCAGGACATAGTATGTCCTATGTGGGGTAAAAACAAGTTTCAAGGAAAACTAACCCTCTGAATCAAAACCACCATGGAATATCACACACAATAAAAACTGAGGGGCTTCAGGGACCTTTGAGGCATGTGCCAAAGCCAACTGTCTTTTTTGGCCTTTTAGGAGGCTCATCATATCGTATGTTGTGGAATATTACTTTAACTAGGTAAAGATGTGTTTCATTTGTTTATGCTGCATTTGTTTAATTATGTAAAGATGTGTTGCTGTTTTACCTTGCCTGCCTAAGGCACCTGATTGGTCTAATAAAAAGCTGAATAGCCAATAGTGTGGCAGAAGAGGGATAGGTAGGGCTGGTGGGCAGAAACAATAAGTAGGAGAAGAAATCTAGGAACTAGAGAAGAAAAGAGAGGAGAGAGAGAAAAAACAGGGGAAACAGAGGTAGACTCCTGGGGCGAGTCAGCTGCCAGACAGACAGACAGACACAGAGCAAGCAGTGAAAGTAGGACACACAGAATGAAAAAAAGGTAAAAATCCCCAAGGCAAAATGTAGATGAAGAGAAACAGGTTAAAATAAGTTATAAGAGCTAGCAAGAAATGAATCTAAGCTAAGGCAGAGCATTCATAACTAATAATAAACCTCCAGGTCATGATTTAGGGTTGGTGGCCCAAGAGAAAGCCTGCTACCACCATATCTCATCCAAAGTCCTTAGCACCTGACCTAACACTGTCTTCTGTCTCTTTTCAGTTTTTTATTTATCTTCATCTTTGTCCTGATTAGATGAATTTCCTAGGTTTCTGTTTCCTCCCACCCCCAACCTGAGAGAAGAAGGTAGGTGTGATTCTTGTGTTCTTATTTACCTTGGAGGTTTCTCCTGAAGATGGCTGGTGAGTGTGGAGGGGCAGTGTCTACATGTGTAGCAGTGTGTACAATTCTTGGAACCTCTAAGTGAGACACCACAAATATAGATACACACAAACTTTTGCAAGGACTGTACCCTGCCCATCAGAGTAAGAAGAACTCCTTTCAGCTCACACACTTTCTTCTGTTGGCTAATTCAAGCCCAGGACTTAGGAGGGAATCCAGAGCTAAAGGTAGATCTTGTCCATGTGGACATCTGGTCAACCCCAAACCATCAGCAGAAACCATCAAGTCTTGTGTCATCCCACCTGCTTTCCACCTCCCCAGTTCCTGAAAGAGGCTGAGTTAAGATGGAGGCTGTGGACCAACAGTCCCAAATATGAAATCCTGCCTTCAGCCTTCTCCCTGGAAACTGCTTTCTGAACCTAATGACTCCCAACAGGGAGTCCAGGGGGCTCACCAGCTGTGGACCCAGATCTACTCTGGTAGCCTGCGGAATGAGGAGAAAGGCATTGCCATGCTAATAATGTCTTATTTAAATTCTAGCCCTGATTACCCTGTGATGAAATCTCTTCCCTCCACACTGCCTTCTTTATATCTGCATTCCAGCGTGAAATCAACAACATTAATAAAGTACAATACAGATTATCAAATTATACATAGGAGACAGAGAAACAGCTGTATAAATCTTAAGGTTCTTTTTTTGGGGAAAAAAAACTAAAATCAGTTATTCATTTTTTTACGCCCAACCTTCCCTTATTAAAAAATTAAGATGCATATTAATGAGAGGCTGCTGGTTAATTTCTGGAAGCATTCAGGGGTGCGGGAGCCACTTGGTTTTCCATTTGACTCCACTACACTCAGCATCCCTCAGAATCCAAATGCGTGCCACACTGTCTCAGAACTGGAGTCTTCTTCTCTTCACAGGCGTGTGTCACTGTAACAGATTCAGAGGCAGCAGCCACATCTGCCTCCCTTCGCCCTCGAGACTGTCATGTGTCTGTCCCTTTCCCATCACCCCAATCTGAACAACAAACGCAGGGCGAGGGGGGCAGCTTGGCTGGTAGAGTGATTTCTTGGCATATGCAAAGTCCTGGGTTCGATTCCAGCACATCACAAACTAGGTATCAGGTACAGCTCGCCTCTAATTCCAGGCCTAAAGAGGTGGAAGCAGGAGGATCAGCTGTTCAAGGTCATCCTCAACTATAGTCAGGTTCGGTTCAAGGCCAGTCTGAAGTACAGAAGACCCTGCCCCAAAAATAAAGCAGAACAATAAATATCCATACAAGACCATGCCATCGTCATCCAGGAAAGAGTCACATGGTCACTGCTTTCATTTATTATAAACTGGTTGGCCTAGTAGCTCAGGCTTCTTATTAACTCTTATAACTTACATTAGCCCATTATTCTTGTCTGTGTTAGCCACGTGGGTTGGTACCTTTCTCAGTGAAGCAGTCACTTCTTGTGTCCTCGTGTCTGGGTGACAACCGCAGACTGAAACTTCCCTCCTCTCAGAATTCTTGTTGCCCCACCTCTACTTCCTGCCTGGCTACTGGCCCATGAGCATTTCTTTAAAATGTGACAGGGTACAGACCGTTGTCCCACAGCACAACTCTCTCCCCCAACACACAGAAATATCTTTTTAAAATTTTTTTAAGACCTGAGAGACCCAAGGAATTTTATTTGACTGAGAAGCTCTGTGGTGCATCCACGCCTATAAAGACACAGATTTGCCTGTCTTTTCTTGCTTGTGTTACATCTGAACTTGAAACTCAGTGTCCCCTCTAGATTCCTGACTCTCAAGTTCAAAAACAGCTGAATCCAGACTATGATCTAGTTTTATTGCATTCCCATGGTGAAAGCGTCAATTTACTCAGGAATGTATTTTCTTTTCAAGGATTTGTTTTAGTTTTAGTTATGTGAGTTTATTATATACGTCTCTGTATGTGTGTATACTTGAGTGCAGTACCTGAAGATGTCAGAAGGGGGCATCGCATCCCTGGGAGCCAAACTTGGGCCCTCTGCAAGGGTAGTGCACGCTCTTAATCATTAAAGCCATCTCTCCAGCCCCTAGAAATTCATTTTCTATGTCTTCACTACCCACATCCTTCACAATATAGACTGCCAATTTGGGTAACCCAAATCCACACCTCCTCAGACGGGTTAAGAACGAGCTTCCGCCTCAAGCACATGTGAGTGAACACGCGGGAGAGGGTGGCTGACCCAGCATAATCCAGACACGGAGCACGCAGATCCCACCGTGAGCCATCTGCAGTTGGAGTCACCCGTGCAACAACCGTCTCCCGTTCGCTTGTTTATGTTTTATTCATCATCTTGAAAGAATTTAGTGAAGTAACAATGATGAGATTCAAAAATACTGCACAGCGCTTTTTAAAATATATATATATATATTAATGGCTTTCAAGCGCTCACTCGCTATTCAAATGAAAATATCGTTGGGTTAGATTTGCTCAAATCTGTTTACATCCTATTTATTCTTAGAAATAATCCATTCCCCTATTTTGTGTAAGAGCTAAATGATAACACTATGAAACATTTCAGTTTTTCTTATTCATAGATTTTTTTTTTAAAAAATCAACAGCAAAAGAGATCCACCCTGTTGGATTCTCTCACAGATGAAGTTGGCCAGCCTGCAGGGCTGGAGCCCCCCCCCCCACCCCCAACAGTCAGCCCTGTGCTTATGGACGCTCCTCACGCAGCCATGGGCTGCACATTTGGAAAAATAGACAAATAAACAAGTGAAATGTTTGGCCTTTGACAGTGGAAGGAGGGGCGTGTGAGCGGGCTCGATTGGCAGAGGCCCGCGCAAGCTTAGTGAACCCGCGTAACAGAGGAGGAAGAGAACCGACCCCCTGAAAGTGGCTCTGTGACCTCTGACCTCTGTGGGCCCAACACACAGTAACAATCAATTTTTAAAACTTTTAAAAGAAATAAACAAGGAGGGGCCAGAGGGATGTATCAGTGGTTGAGAACACTGGCTGTTCTGTTCTTACAGAGCCAGCACCCACCTGGTAACTGTAACACCAGCCCCAGGGGATCTAATGCCCCCTTCTGGCCTCCACAGGAACTGCATTAACATGCTCGACCCCCTCCCCCAACACACATACTTTAAAATTAAGCATTTTAAAAACAAAATGAAAAGCGTTCAAGGAAACAGTGCTCAGCTCTGAGCTGTTGAGCCAGCGGAGGTCTCACGGACAGGAGACACCATGGCCACTGACAGGAGACACCACGGCCACTGACTGATAGGAGACACAGCAGCCACTGACAGAGACACCATGGCCACTAATTGATAGGAAACATGGCAGCCACTGAGAGGAGACACCACAGCCACTGAGAGGAGACACCACAGCCACTGACAGGAGACACCACAGCCACTGACAGGAGACACCACAGTCACTGACTGACAGGAGACGCTGCGGCCACTGACAGGAGACGCTGCGGCCACTGACAGGAGATGCTGCGGCCATGGACAGAGACTCATCTCTTTGATTCAAACGTGGGAGAAACCACACCTCACACAATTCACTAGAACTTTAAAGCCTAGTTTGTTCACCCCCAAACGCCATGCCTAACCCCTGCCAGCCAGAGCTACGTTTCCTTGTCTGGACTTGGAACACTAATCGTCCCTGACAGCAATTTATGGAGCGCTCAGGGAGCCCCAGCTCTGTTAAGTGGAACATACGGCGTATGTCATGTTAGCCCTTCTGGCATGCCAGCACCTGGGCAGAGGTGATGCCAGTGTCACCTCTGTCCTCCTCCTGGGGAGAGAATCAAACCTCAGAGGATAACCCGAGAGAAGAGTCACTCCCTGTGACCAGCATCCCAGGAGACTGGACCGAGGGAGATACTCAGGATGTGCACCCAGGGCAGGAAACTCCACAGCTCACCGTGGGAAAGCTCTGAGTTGTGCATTTGAAGAGTAAAGCAAATGCTGATGGATGACCCCGCCCCATTGTCCAAGGCTCTTGCCAACAATGTCCCCTGTGAACCGGCGGGGTGCCCCGTGACCTTGCCACAGTGAGGTCATCTGGCCACACTATCCAATAACATCATCACTGGCTTGGCTATAACTGGGGGCTACTCACTGTGGGCGGCTTCCTGGAGGGCCAGGTCCTGGCTGCACCTGGCATAGTCCTCTTTGACATTGCCCAGCCTTCTGATACTCCTGGAACTGAGTGCCAGCAGCCTGCTCAGGAGAGATTCTAGCCCTTCTCGTTCTGATGACAGTGCCCGAATCTCCTCCGAGAGCTCCTTGGCTGTACAGAAGTGGCTTCCTGTAGCACGGTGGGGGAGAGAGGAAAGGAGATATCATATGTATGACTTGTAATAATATTTATGTTCTTGAAAGTCCATACATTTATACAATGCATATTGAGTATATCCATCCACGACTACCTCCTTCCACCTCCTTCTAATGCCTGCACCCTGTCTCCCTCCCAACTTCCTGTCTTTTTGTTTATGTTGTTGTTGTTATTATTAATAACCTCATCCATCAAGGCATGAGCAACCTACCGGAAGCCATGTCCCCAAAGGAAAATGATTTTCCCTCCCTTGGCAGCCATCATCTATCCATGGTTCCTCCAGTGAGGTAGGGTCTCCTCAGTCGCTCCCCCATCCAAGTGGGAATTTTTTTGTAAATAAATTGTGGTGTTCCTAACTGTGAATATCAGGGACCACAGGATCCCGATGCATTGTCAAAAGGTCAGGTACACAGGAGGGATGCCATTGGGAATTTGGGCCCTCTGAAAATGTCACAGAGATGCTCAGCAGGACCAGGGAGAGCCCCAGGTATCATTCCACTCACTACCCAAATGTCCAAGGACTGACAACGCGCAGCAGGGTGGAAAGAAACTAGCCTTGCGGTAAGACTGCTTAAGCCCCTCCCCCTTATCAAAATGCATGAGATATGTAACGCGAATCTCTGCACAAATAGGAAGGATGGACCTCAATTGAGGACTTTCCGCCATCAGATCATCTTGTAAGGTGTGTCTGTGAGCATTGTCTTGATTGGTCATTGAGATAGGTGGACCCAGGCAACTGTGGATGCTGCTGTCCCTAAACAGGGTGTACTGGGGTCTAGAAAAGATAGCTGAACACAACCCCAAAAGCAAGCCAGTAAGCGGCCCTCCTCTGTGGTCTCTGCTTCAATCCCTACCTCAGGGATCCCGCTTGAGCCCCTGCCCTGGCTTCCTTAGGTAATGGCCTGTGACCTCTAAGCCAAATAATCCCTTTCCTCCCAAGTTCTTTGGGTCAGTGTTTTTACCCCAGCACTTGGAAGGTGAAGAGACCCTAACGAAAACAACATGAAAAATAAATGAGCACATTTGGCATAAATGTGTTATGAAATATGATCGTAATAACACCTGACTCGCAGGTGGATGCAGGAACCACAGGTGGCTGGGTGCATAAGAAAGAAAAGCCATAAAGCGCCAGATAAAATAGATGGTAACCAGAATGCAGCAAGGAGCCAGGTCAGGCACAAGATCCAGCTGTGTGTCTGAATGGCCGCGGCAGGCCACGGCGAGACCATTTCTCTGAAACACCGTTTGCAGCATATTTTGAGACTAAAAGGATGCAGGGAGGAATTTAAAGCATCCTATGCAGATGTGGAAACTGCTTTGGAAGACCTGCGGAGAGGAAATGAGACTTAAATAATTGTGGAGATGAACTACAAGGGTCCACTGGAAAACTTGTTACTCCTAGGGTTCAGCTTATCCCAGATTGATGCACAGAGTTAATACAATTCCCATCAAAATTTCATGAGGCCCTTTGGTAGAAATGAATGGGCACATCCTAAAATGAAAAAGAAAATGCAAAGGTCTAGAGAAGGCAGAGCAACCAAATAAACTATCTACATTTCAAGACCCCAGCTATCACTGCCATAAAGCAGGACTGTGTGCCTCGGAAACCAGACAGGCATGTCTGCTGCTGAGTCCTCCGAGGGCCAACTGGGTGCCAGGCTAGTCAGCGAGGGAGAGAAAATCACCCCAATGGGTGTTGCCAAAGAATGGGTTACTCATGTGGGGACAATGGGAACCCTGATGTATACCTCAGACCACACACAAATTACATCAGGGGTGAGACAAGGGACTCACACTAAGTTCAAACTATGAAGCTACAGGCGGGACATAAGAAGAGGCAAGGTTCCGGCTTTGGGTTTGGAACAGGCAGAGCTTTGCAGAGGACACAGACCAAAACAATCAAAGAAAACCCCTGATAAATGGGCTTCTCTGGGGCAATAGCTTCTTCTGGCACACAGGCAGGGCCACTGGGCGTGGTGCCCCAGACGCCCCAGCACTTGGAAGGTGAAGGCAGGAGGAGCAGGAATTCAAGGCCAGCCTTAGCTACACAGTAAGTTTTCAGCCAGCCTAGACTACCTAAGACTGTCAAAAGTAAAGAAATGAACAAGAAAAGGGGGGAAGAAATAGGGAGGGGTGGGTAAGGGAAAGCAAAGGAGAGGGGAAAGAATGGAAGGGAGGGGAAGCCGAGTCAAATGGGGACAGATCGTTTGCTACAGTTAACCGACGAAGAACTCAATTTTACATCTCAACAATGAACCCAAATGACAGCACTGAACATGAACAAAGACTCACCAGGCCTTTCACAAAGAGCCATGTGCAGATGGCCAGCACACACATGAAAACATGTTGAACATATGAGTCACCGGAAGTATAAATAAAAGTGCAGAACCCACTTCAACCCATTCAGATGGCAGAAAGCCCTAAACTGAAAAGGGTCAACATTGGAGGGGTGTGTGTGTGTGTGTGTGTGTGTGTGTGTGTGTGTGTGTGTGAAATTTCCTGAACTCCCAAACATGCAGAGGTGTAACCCCACTGAGAACATGTCTGCCGGTCTTTCCTAAAGTTAAATGTATCCCTGTGCTTGCTCCAACAATTCTCTCCACGTAGGGATGTCCACAGGGGACTGAAGGCATCAACCCAGACACTCACATCTGACAGCTCCTAGCAGCTTTGCTCTGCAGCCTCTGGCAAGGTGCTCATGCTCCTGTAAGTGATGCTAATGAAGCTCACTGGCTCACCAAAGAGAAAGGAGGGAGGGAGGGAATGAGGGACGGAAAGGTAGCTCAGTGGTTAAGAGCGCTGGCTGCTCTTGCAGAAGACTGAGGTTCAAGTCCAGGCTCCTACATGATGGCTCACAAATGTCTGTAACTCCAGTTTCAGTTCCAGGGTGTCTGACACCCTCTTCTGGCCTCTGCAGGTTAACACACATGTGGTTCACAGATATAATGCAGGCCAAACACACATATATTATTATTGAAATAATAATAATAAATAGTAATAATTTCTGGATGGTCGTGGTGCACGCCTTTCATCCCAGCACTCGGGGGGCAGACGCAGGTGGATCTCTGTGAGTTCGAGGTCAACCTGGTCTACAAGAGTTAGTTCCAGGACAGGCTCCAAAGCTACAGAGAAACCCTGTCTCAAAACAACCAAAATAAATAAATAAATAAGTATTAATAACAATAATAAAAGAAATGAAATGTTGACTGAGGTTTCTGTCCCACCAGGCCCCATAGCCGTTCAGTCCCACAGAAATGCACAGAGGTCTACATTAATTATAAATTAATTATAAACTGATTGGCCTAGTGGCTCAGGCTTCTTATTAATTAATTCTTACATCTTACATTAATTCGTTATTCTTGTCTGTGTTAGCCATGTGGCTTTTTGTTGGCTGGGGTTTCTGTTCTGCCCAGTCTTCCATTTGTTCAGTCCCAAAGAAACACACAGAAGCCTACATTAATTATAAACTGGTTGGCCTATTAGCTTAGGCTTCTTATTAACTAACTCTTATAATTTATATTAGCCCATAATTCTTGTCTATATTAGCCACATGTCTTGGTACCTTTTTTGGTGAGGTAGTCACATCTTGCTTGCTCTGTGTCTGGATGATGAATGCAGACTGAGACTTTCCTCTTCCCAGAATTCTCCTCTTCTCATTGCCCCACCTCTACTTCCTGCCTAGCTACTGGCCAGTCAGCATTTTATTCAACAAGAACAAGAATGAAAGTAGATATACACTATGAAAATATCATGATGAAACCCACTATTATGCATAATATCTTCACACTTTTGTGAGATCAGGAGAGAACGTGTATTTCAAACTCAAAGCATGCTGAACCAGATGTGTATGTCGCCACTCTACCCCAAGGCTCATGCGGCAAGAGAGGGCAGAAAGGGGTTTGGGCCGGGAGCAGGCCGTGAACCGCTGTCCTCTGGACATGGACACGGCACTCAGGAACTCACCGCGGCTGGTGCTACCTATACTAGATTGAGCCAGAAAGGAGCTCTGTAAACACTCCAGCCAGATGTCCCTCAATTCCCAGTGGAGAGAGCTGTCAACAATCCTGGATTGCAGCACAACTGAGCACCCGGCTCTCAGGACAGGCCACAGGAACACTTTGCAAGTCCCTCAGCCTTAGGGACTTCAGACAGCAGCAGGCAGTTCACCATGTCATGGGTCAGGCTTTGGACAGGGGTGGAGGGTTGAAATAGAGCCCATCCAATGAAACTTCCCCAGTTTCCCCAGCTAGCCAAAGAGCTAAAACTAAAACCCCCATGCCAGCCTGCAGTATGCCATCTTAAGCATCTTCCACCGCACACAAGTGCACACCCCCACAAAAAGACACACACACCGACACACATAAATAAACTATCTTTTTCTAAAGAGTTTGAAGACTCTTCCCTGCGCTTCTAAAGACAGACTGTTGATGACCGAGCAAGGGAATTCCGCCTCTTGGATCACACTACATTCCCTTCTTCCCTCAGGCTCCACGGAGGCCCATCCACCTGTTCTCGGGGGAAGATGTATTAAGAAAGGCAAAACCCCAACTCAGGAACAAGATTGCATTCCGTCTTCTTTTTTTCCCTCTCTGCAAACGAGGTCATAACTCCAGCTAAGTGGCACGGGAGGCAGTTACGAGGCAGGCCGCATGCTCACCCACCATGTTCTAGGGTTGTAAATGCCACGCTTGGTTGCATCAGGGACCAAGTGGCTCGTTAGCTGCAGCATTAGTGTTTAACGACGTGAGGAGCAGAAGCTGCCAGGCACCATGCTCCTTCTTAAAACACCATTGAAAATCCATACGTGTAATTATTACAGCTTCCCATTCGATTCTGACTCCTCTGAAGCCAATGGACTGAACGTTCATGCAGCCTGTAAACCTCAGAGATCTCAAGGCTGCCGTCTATATAACTGGGCTAAAGATCCATGCGTCACACTCTGGGGAGTCTGGACTCCAGCCACTGGTCTGCCA